TCTCTCTCTCTCTCTCTCTCTCTCTCGTCTCATGTGCTTGTTCAGAGCCTCTGAGCTGGTGTGCTTCATTTCCTTCTTTTCATTTCCTTTAAATTCCCCAAACAAAAGTCGTTTAATTTCTATGCTGTTGTTTTTGATGTGGAAACTCTCACCAGGTTGGGGATTTCTTATTTCCAGAGTGAATGTAACATCACAGAGGGAGAAAAGGTCCAAACAAAAAAAAGAAAAATAGATTTCTTATCTTGTTGAACAGTGTAGAGGAATGGACAGATCAGTCAGTCTCATCTCAGTATCCATGATAAAATACAGACAGACTTCTGTTTAACACGAACTTATTATTTATTCTGCTGCATCTGTCTTTCATCGGCTTTAAATTAAAAACATCTATGAGTCCAAAAGGCTTTGAAACAAAATACTGTATACAGCTCTCTCTCTCTCTCTCTCTCTCTCTCTCTCTCTCTCTGTTGCAGGGAGTTGGGTGAGAGTAGAGTGTGTGAGGGTGACTGTCTCTCAAACTTTTTCTCTTTTTCTGGTTTTCTCTTTTTCGGTGTTACATTAGTGTACTAAATTAAATGTCATTCCTTTCATTTTTGGAGGAATGGAAACAGAAGAAGGAAGAGTTTGCTTCCTCAGGCACATGGTAGAAGGTTGGGAAAACACAAATAAAAATATTTTGCCAGCACACCACACACATGAAAGCAATAATAAAGGGCACCATTGAGGAGTTACAGAGGGAGATAGGAACACTGGAAAATGAAATAATTACTAAGAACCACACAGGGAAGAGGAACCCTCTAGAAGCAAAGAAGATAGCACTAGGTTCCTATCTTCATGAGCAGAGTAAGGGGGCCCTCATCAGAACCCAAATCTCTAACATCAAAGACACTGATGCCCCAACCTCCAACTTCTTCAGCCTAGAACAGAGAATCAGACCTCACAATCAGATGCAGTACCTAAAGCCCCTTGATGGAACCACAACCACAACACCAGCAAAAATGAAAGATTGCAGTTTTTATAAGGAACTGTACCATGCAGATGTCACTGACCCACAGTGCAGAGAGGAGCTACTGAAGGAGATACCAAAACTGAATAAACAACAAACATTGGAACTGGACATCGAACCCCAAGAACTAGCCATTGCAGTACAGCAGCTATCCACTGGGTGAGCACCAGACATTGATGGACTTCTGGCAGAATTTTACAAACACTTTTGGCAAACATTGGGAACAGACCTGGATAAGGTTTTTACATGGTCTATAAACAATGGGAAGGACTTAGCTGTCCTTTCAGAATTCAACAGGGCATAAGGCAAGGATGTCCATTATCTGGGCAATTGTACAGTTTAGCCATTGAACCTCTATTAGGGTGGGCTACAGGAGAAACTGGTACTGTCAGCTTATGCAGACAATGTAATGGTCTTCATTAAAAAGCAGGAAGATGTTCAAGCTCTTACTCACAGTCTAGCTGTGTACCAAGGGGCATCCTCTGCGTGAGTGAACTGGAGTAAGTGGGAAAGTTTTATTGCAGGACAGTGGTGAGGGAAAGAACTTCCCAAACCACCAGAAAACTTACAATGGGGAAAAACAGGCATCAAATACCTGGGCATCTTCTTAGGAGAATAAGAGTACTTGCAAAAAAACTGGGAGGGAAATGTGTAGAAGGTAGGTGCTACTTTTTCTAAGTGGACTTGGGTCCTGCCCCAGCTGTCTTATAGGAGGAGGGTGCTGGTCGCTAACAATCTGATCGCCTCCATGCTGTGGCACAGGTTCACAGCCCTCGAGCCACCAGAGGCACTAATCAGAGAGATCCAGAGGAGGATAGTGGACTTTTTCTGGACTGGACAACAATGGACATGAGCCCCTGTCATATACCTGCCGGTACAGGAGGGAGGCCAAGGCGTGATTGTCCAGTCGAATAAGGGCTTTTCGCCTGCAGACGGCACAGAGACTCTGGATTGTTAGGTTTGCTTACTGTCACGTAATGGTTAAGGACAATGTGCTTTGCATGCAGAGTGCAAGCAGGGACTCCGGCAAGACTAGCTGTGACAGCATAACTAAAAAGGAGAGCCGGAAGGTAACAGACAGGAGGGCGTCCTGGGACATAAAACGGCCAGCCACTCCACCGTCAAGATTAATGAATGTACAATGCCCCCAATGAGAGCAGGAATATTTACATCCTAGTTTGAACATTTCTCTGGGAATAGACAAACCAACACTACTGAAAATTCTGTGCCGTGTTAAACACTGGGTCTGTTTTCCCACAGAACCTGCAAAGGGGAGAAGCAGTGAGGTTTCACTTAAACAGGAGAGCATTAGTCAGCATTGCAGAGTGAAGAACTCGCCATTGAAGGTCTCCAGACCACATCTGCAGAGTACACTTGTACAGAGCCCTTCACTGAGATGGAGGTGTGGACAGATGGGTTCTCCACTGTGTGTCCACTTGCATTTTTAGTTCTCTTAAAACACCAGTTTTTATGCAGGTTTTGTACAGTTCGTATTTTGGGGGTTCAGAAGGGGATGTCCTTGGTACAGGAGGAGCTGACCTGCGCTGTCGTCGCACGGAGCCTCAGTAGGAGTTTTGTGCAGTTCCAAAAAAAGGACACCTGAGCTGGACCTCTGGTTGTACAACTGTTAATGTAAGTCAGTAAAGATGTGGGAATGAAGCTTTCAGACTTTTCAAAATATTTTCCCATATATACTTTCTGATCTGTCCCAATCTCTCTGTACAGTTGTGCACTTGTACCCACGCTTGCTTGTCCTGATCAATGAGAGCCCCAGCACACAATCCTCGGAGAAACAGAGAGAGAGGGAACTCATTATAAGGTGTGCTCTTGTCCTGGTTTAAGAGGATGTACATTGGGCCACATTTATCGAGCTGGATTCAAATGGATTTATGCATAAATCATTCATACAACTGTTTACACAAGAAATTTGGTTTTCATGAAAATCCTATAAATTTGGAAAAATGTTCATATTGATTTGATTTATTTTATTAGACTTCCAGCGTATAGCAGATGCCCTTACCCAGAGCCACTTATAGAAGATATTTAGAGTCTCGATCAGAAACACATCCTCATGCTAGTTCACTCGGTCAGGGACTCAGAGCTCCATCCACAACATTTAGTCAAAACCAGTTGTTTTAATCTGTCTGCACAGAGCTGTAAGCCGTAACACCTCAGCTGATGGAAGATTTAGCGCTTGCTTATTATTATTATTATTATTATTATTAGATTTTTATTGGTACAGAAGTGAGTCAAAATAACTTTTAGCCTTTTAGCTTTTACCCTGATTGCTCCGTTCGTGCTCCCAGCTCTCTGTGCATGTTACTCTTTATGGACTTTTGTGGGCATCAAATAATGCAAATGAGCTGTGTCAGGAATGCACTTTGCACTTTACAGTCAACATATGCATGCAAGTATGAAAAAAAACAGCATTTCTGAAACTTTTGTAAATCCAGAGGAAAAGTTTAGTTTGGTTTGGCAAACATTTACACACAACTTTATTAAAAGATTGATAAATGAGGCCCAGTGAATGTACTGAACGCTTATTCTCAAGCTGTATCCATTCTAGAATTTTTTTCAATGCTTTAATGAAGGATCCTGGACAAAAAAAGACCATTATATTAAGGAAAGAAACTTTTGATATTTTGTTTTATTACACAGACTGAAATAAGGATACCTGCTACATAATTAATCTGTTCATTTTTCTTGGTAAATATTTTATTTAGAAAATTAATTTCATAAATAGAACTTCCCAAATTATATTATTTAAAGATGATTTTTACAACTATGACCACTCAATTAAGTACATGTATTTGACAAGATATACATTCACTGAGCACTTTATTAGGAACACCTGTACATCTACTCATTCATGCAATTATCTAATCAGCAAATCTAATCATGCAGATTCGGGCCAGCAGCTTCAAGTAATGTGCACATCAACCATCAGAATTTGGGAAAAATGTGATCTCAGTGATTTTGACCGTGGCATGATTGTTGGTGCCAGATGGGCTGGTTTGAGTATTTCTGTAACTGCTGATCTCCTGGGATTTCGCAAACAACAGTCTCTAGAGTTTACTCTGAATGGTGCAATAAAGAAAAAACATCCAGTGAGCAGCAGCTCTGCAGACTGAAACGCCTTGTTGATGAGAAAGGGCAATGGAGAATGGCCAGACTGGTTCAAGTTGACAGAAAGGCTACAGTAACTCAGATAATCACTCTGTACAATTGTGGTGAGCAAACAAGCATCTCATAATGCAAAACATCTCAAACCTTGAGGCAGATGAGCTACAACAGCAGAAGACCACGTCAGGTTCCACTTTTGTCAGCCAGAATTTGGCACCAGCAGCATGAATCCATGGACCCAACCTGCCTTGTGTCACCAGTCCAGGCTAGTGGAGGTGGTGTGATGGTGTGGGGAATGTTTTCTTGCACGCTCTGGGCTCATTAATACCAATCAATCATGGCTTGAATGCCACAGCCTATTTGAGTTCCCTTCCCTTCATGGCCACAATTTACCATCTTCTAATGGCTTATCATTCCAGCATGATGATGCACCATGTCACAAAGCGAAAGTCATCTCAAACTGGTTTCAGGAATATGACAATGAGTTCAGTGTTCTTCAGTGGCCTTCCCAGTCACCGGATCTGAATCCAGTAGAACACCTTTGGGACGTGGTAGAACAAGAGATTCACAGCATAAAAGTGCACCTGAAAAATCTGCAGGAATTGCGTGAAGCACCCATGTCAACATGGACCAGGTGTGTGTGTTGTTATCCCCTGCCTTTCAGTTACACACTGATCAGTGGTGTTTGAATTCCGTAGCCGTTCCATTCATTTTCTCTGGTCTTCTCTGATCCTCCGTGGTTGTGGGTTCAGCTCACTGGTCTGGTGTGAAATGTCTGCTACCAAGCTTCGTATGGGTGAAATGGTGGTGAGGAAGGTTTACTGAGATCAGTCTGAGCTGGGAAGCTGTGGAAGCTTAAAGCTGTTCTGTTAGGGCAGTGGTAGCTCAGTGGTTAAGATGTTGGGCTACTGACTGGAAGGTTGTGAGTTCAATCCCCAAGACCAGCTGCCATTGCTGGGCCCTTGAGCAAGGCCCTTAACCCTCAACTGCTCAGTTGTATAAATGAGATAAATGTAAGTTGCTCTAGATAAGAGTATGCCAAATGCCATAAACGTAATGTTCTGTTCTGAAGATGCTGTGCAGAGAGGGACACAGCAGCACTTGTGAGATGTCTTCAATTGTCTTTAAAAATATTCAGTCTTAAATACCTTACAGCAGACACTCACGTTGATGTGGCATTATGAAGGACAAGTCCCTGTCTTGCTACAACAATAAAATATGTTCAGTTCTGTATTTTAATTTCATATATGCCCATCGGGTTTGAAAGTTTATTACTATTAAACAAAATTACTGTATAATTTAAATCAATACGGTATGTTCAGTCTTTAAATCACTGCAGGGAATTAATAAATCAATAACATGTTCTTTAAACATCTGGAAGCTAATCAAAGCCACAAATCATACACTTTCACAGAACTTCACTTGTAAAATAGCTTCAGCAGGGCCATGCCTAAATCTGTGCCACTCTTTATAAATTCATCTTCATTTTACTTTAATATCACAGCTTTCACATCAGTGAAATATACAGAAACATGGTCATCTATCTATGGTGCTTAATCCCGCCAAATTAGAATATAATGCAGTTTTAACAGCAATCCATCAATTACAAGCTCAGAAAAGTTTTCTGTGTGAGATCGCCTTCGGATTTGCTTTGTTTGCGGTTTTTCAGCAACAAAATGCCACCTGAATAAAAACCCTGAACTAATCCCCTTAAGATAATAATCAATAATCTCCGTTTATTATACACACACACACACACACACACACACACACACACACACACACACACACAAGTACTCAGGCACACGCATATTCACATACACACACACACTCTTATCTTCTGTATTATTTCTGTACTGTGTAGTGCACTAGGCAGATTCAGCTCTACAGATACAGATGCTAAACCCTATGTAGTGCACTAGAGAGACATTTGGAGTATTGTTCTATATTCCCTACATAGTGCACTACATCCGAAATGATATCTGAAATGATGGCTTCTAAACCCTAGGTAGTGCACTAGATGTCCACTATCTGAGGTGAATGAGACAGCTCTACTGAACAGTGAACACTTCAGGAGGAGGGAAAACAGAAAATCAGGGCATGTCTGAGTGATGCTGAAGATCTGGAGGTAGTTTTCATGAAGATAAGTGACAGATATTGACCACACACACACACACACACACACACACACACACACACACACACACACACACACACACAAGGGCTGATGGACGTGGGATGTGCTCTAAAAGCCAGTGTGTGTGACCTGCTTTTCCTTCTCTGACATCAATCAGACTTGCTGCTCTGACCTTCAGCACCCGCAGTCACTTCCCATGAAATGATCTGCAAATAATCACAAATAGAGACACAACGACTGACAATCCATCACACATCCGCATCACACCACTCGACTTCAGCTCGCTCACTCAGTCCCACAACACATTTGCACACATTTGCATTCATTCATTTACCAACAGAATTTTTATTCACAGCTTTAGAGCTCCATGAAACAGAATCCAATCTGAGCTGAAGGTCATAAAAGAGCAATTCAGCCCAAAATGTTCCTCAAAAATGTCCTGAAAATGTCATCAATCAAACTCTGAGACTTGCTTCGTGTCTCAGCATCATCTCCTTTTTTCAGCACCGTATACGGCAGGAGTTTTGTATTTTACAGAAACTGTTAGATGATTTACGTCCTACTCGGAGTAAATAATCAAAACAGTCATCAGCTTATGTATGATTTACACAATTTAAATGTTAACGTTAACAAAATCAGAAGGTTCATCTTTAATCAGGAGCCAGGTTGAAATTGCCCAGATGTACAGGTGTGATGATCCACAAACCTTTGACCATGTAGCTTATAAATATCTTTCTGTGCATGTTGCTGTGTGTTGTTCTCGTTCCCTTGCTAAATTCCCCAAAGCTAATTTGGCTCCGTTTGTGTGTTATAAAGTCTGTAATCAGCATCGTCACTGTGGAGAACATCGATGCACATCACAACACCTCGTCAGTGACGCATTAGTGGCTATCGATACAGGCTGAAGATCGCACTCTAGTTTATGTAATATTGTTTAAATGAAATAAACATACATTAACTGCTTATAATCCAGAACTACAAATAAAACAAGCAAAAACTAAAACTTCACCTTTGATGTTCCTGAACTCCAGATGTAAATATTAGAACTTGTTTTAGCCTCAGTTGTGAATTTTGCCAGTTAATAAACACAAACCTGTTCATTAAGATGTTGTTTTGTCACAGTGGCAGTCCGTAATGCTCCATCTCCTCTGAGTGTTAAACACTGCGGCTCATTAACCTCAGACTCACCTCAGCGTACTCGAACCGCGAGCTTGTCTCTGATGACACTATCGCTGTTCACCTCTGCTTTTTCTCATTAATCTTTACTCCTCATTTATTTGTTTTGTGTTTAATTATCTCTGATGGCTTGTGAGCAGTGCCTAGCGTTAGAACCAGGCGTGGCCAGGCAGCATTTAACTTCTCTACTGTACAAATCTTCGACATGCCCCAAATCTGACCATCTTTAAATCCAAACTAAAAACATTCGTTTTTTTCCTGTGCCTTTGACCCTTACTAGCACTTTTCTAATTTATATCTTTTATTTCATCTTTATGTTCTTGAGTTCTGTAAAGCATTTGTGTTTGAAATGTGTTATAAATAAATTCACCTTGTCAAATTAAAAAGTATCATGTTTGTGTGTGTGTGTGTGTGTGTGTGTGTGTGTGTGTGTGTGTGTGTGTGTGTGTTGGGCTAAATGCGCATTAATCGTGAACAAATCATGTGAAAAAAAATCATATGGAAAAATAAAAACATGCACTACATGTGAAAACATAACGCATGAAGTGTCTAGAAAACACACACGTGAAATTTGATCATTCACAGGGAAAGTTTGTGTTACCTTTTCGTAAATATCTCACGATTACACGACTGAGACTTTGTGAAGTGTGTGTGGAGCTCCGGGTTATATTAGGGAGCTAAAGAACAGGAGACAGGTGTGTGTGATCAGTAATCAGGAGACCGCGAACAGAGATAGAAGTCATGTGACTGGGTCATGTGATGTGGCTTGTAGTACATGAGCTGGGAATTCTGGGTAATGGAGTTGTTGGTTGTTCACTAAGATGTGAGACTTTAGTATAAAGCGTTACTGATTAAACTTTACCTGTACAACTCGAGCATCACATGATCAAATCCTGAATTACATTACAAAATAAATCGTGTTTGTTATTATGTGTGCTGATATTTCAGCTGTGATGTAAGGTATGCTCATGGTGGATTTGAGACTGAGACTTTTTAAAAATAATCCATCAGCATGTTTATTTCATTTCGTCTCATGGTGGTCGGTGGAACAGGATCGCGTTAAAAAACACTGATGTGTGTGTGTTTCTCTCAGAGCAGAGTGCTTTCAGAAGTTCAAGGGTTTATTTATTTATTTGTTTTTTTTTTTAGAAAATCACACTTCTTTCTCACAAGATTAATCAATTAACAGTCCAGTGCGGAAGTGAGTGAAAAGAATCAGGATGAAGGTCTGAGTGTTGGTGAGAAACTCGTTAGCGAGTATAAGCAGCTTTTTTAATGAATCTGAGATAATTCTGTGCCAATGTTTCTTAACTTCGCTGCTCACAATTTTATTTTTGCCTCCAAAGCCAAATAGAATAAAATCAGCCTCCTACTCGCTGCAGTTAGACTAAATGTTGAGAAATAAAATACACTTTTATTATTATTAATAATAATAAATCTGATTTAGGTTCTAGCGAGGACTCTGTGGAACAGCGTTGTTATGGTTACAGCATGAACATTGCAAGAGTCTTATTTTTTAATAGGCACAAAAAGTTCCAGCAATTTTAATAAATAAAAACCTCAGAATGTGAGTACAGTGTGTGTTTGATTGCACATTTGTGAGTTAGAATTATGAGTTATAATGAAAGGCAATAAATCAGAGTGAAAATGTCGTAGTGGACAGAAAGATGAACACATTTCTAATCTTCCGTGAGGACGTCAGTAACTGACAGACGTGTTTCAGACAGAAAGTGGCCTTTAATCCTTCAGAGTTTTATTGTTAAAATAAATAATTTTTTTCCCAGGAACCGTTTATCGTTTTCAGGATAATAAGAGAGTTTGAGCGTTTTAGTGCTTGCAGTAAACTCACCTGCATAATTGTGATTTTGTAGAGCGTTTCTAATCCAGGAAGTGAAGCGTTACAGCAGTAATTTAGACGGCTGATGGAAAATAAACCTCAGGAAATAAAGCCATTGCTCCAAATCACATAATCATCAGCACAGCGATCACACCGACACGCTGACTCAGAGATAAAATCAACAGCATCCATAACCGTCAATCACTATCACATATACTACTCACTGAGAAACAAGAGGGCTGCGTCCCAAATTTGTGAAGTTACTTCACTTTAAAACACTTCTGCCAGTAGTGTGTGATCTTTACCCATCCATCAGCTCCTGAAACATCCAGCTTTAAGATTTAAAATAGGAGAAATTTAAGCAGGATCTCAGCTGGACACCTAAAACAGGGGAATAAAAGACAAAACCAAAGCTGCACAGAAAGATCGAACCAAAAATAATCAACCCGCTCTAATCAACCTGCTGAAATCAGAATCGGAAACGTGTGATTGGCTCAATAGCACGCCCTGAACCTCGCGCCCTGAACCTCGCGCCCTGAACCTCGCGGCCTGGACCTCGCGCCCTGAACCTCGCGCCCTGAACCTCACGCCCTGAACATCATGCCCTAAACCTCGTGCCCTTAACTGCATGGAACTAAAACAAGTGTTTTACAAAACCAGTGATCATGTAGTTTAAACATTCAGCAAACAGATACACATCATTTAACCCTCACAGCTGAACTGGAAATCATCACAAATAAACTTCTTAGTTAAACAGGATCCTGATAATCATCTTCACCTTCATTCTCCTCTTCCTCATC